ACGCAAATTGCAATGAATTTAGTTGAAACAAAATGAATTCATTTTTTGTCCATTTCTTTAAAGTAACACTATTTTTTATGGAAATATGCTCATTTTTTTCTTAAACTGTTGACTTTTTTTTTAACATATTTGAATCCATTCAGCTGCTTTCCGAGTTTTGGGTGGCACATTTAGCTTAGTTTAGCATAAATCAATGAATTGGATTAGACCATTAGTATCTCACTCAAAAATGACCAAAGAGTTTTGATACATTTCCTATTAACATCTCAACCCTTCTAGTTACAATATAGTTACATTGTGTATACTTATTTCGCATTATAATCAAAGATCTTTGCTGCTGTATAATGACTGCAACAGGTACAATGATATTAAGCAGAGAATGAAATACTCCTAAGCTAGATAACTTTCAACGTGATCAACACACACGATTTTCAGGTGCTGCGTAATATCATTGTGCCTACTCCAGTCATGGTACAGCAGCAAAGTTCCTTGATTATTAAATAGCAACTTTTAATATTCTGTCAGTCTTAGTAGACTACGTAACAACAGAAGTGTCAAGCTTTAAATAGGAAAATTATAAGAACTTTTTGGTAATTTTGAGTGAGGTGCTAATGGTCTAATCTGATTTAATAATTTAAGCTAAGCTAAGCTAAGCTGAGCTAAAAATGCTCACACCAGACCCAGAGATCAGCTGAATAGATTCAATGTTTTTGCAAATGAAACAAAGTCACCTACATTCACATATGACCTCAGAATGAGTAAACTGACAGCAAATGCACATTTTGGGCGGTGAATTGTACCTTTATGAAACAATCTTTTGCATTATGAGATTAGTTAAGCTTTTTGCTGGAGTGTCATAACATAAATCAAGTGCTTGTCACTGAAACCAACACACGGTAAATCCCATACCTCACTTCAGTGGTAGATGACTGTTCACTACAATGGTGATGATGATGACGATGATGGGGATGGTAACATTTGTGGTGATGAAAGACAGAAAGATGAGCCTCGATCCATCTTGATTTAGTGTCTCTCTCTCTTTCACACACACAGATGAAGCAGATGATGATCAACAGGCGTGGGTGGACATTCAAAAGGCAGACAGCTACAGAACGGCCTGATGGTGTGGCCCTATCTGACCCACAGTCTCTGAGGAAAAAGCACTAAATGAACACAAGATAACAGGCAGAAAGAAAGATTCAGCTGTGACTTAGGTAGAATGTCTCAATTGAAAGTTATCAAATGTGTTATGTATCTATGTAACTTTGAGATTTTGCATCTCTATGGTTTTAAAATCTCACGGCAACTTCTCATTTGAAGAAACCAAAGGGTGCGAAAATTTGGGGATGCATAAATTAGTATTTTTTTGTTATTATTTCAAATTTTGACTACAAACAAACATATGTTTTAATACATTCCTAATGGCTTTCGTGTTTTACGGTCATGCTTTTAGGAAACTATTTTAAAAACAGCTAAATTTCGCTATCTATAATCCCTAATAATAACTCCTGTATAGTAGTCCCACAACAACAATGTCACTCGATGACACTCGGATATCCTGTCAGAAAAGCATAGTGACTGGGATTGAGCTTTTTACAGTGTCTGGAGTAATGGTAATCGTTTTTGTGTTTAAATAGATGAATATAGCCACTGTTTAAATAAACAGTACAGATATGTTCTTATTGCTGCATTATATCGTTATGATAATATGATATATGCCTTCAGTGATTTCCTGAAAATAAATACCAAAAAATAACACAACTGGAGTAACTGCAGCAGTCACCATCGTGAATGAAGTAGGAGATTGCGATGGCATATGATGATGTGTGCAGCTGTTGTAGTGCTGTACCTTTTTTTAGGGGTATAATTTAAAGGCTTTCCCCTACACACTCTGTAGAGGTAAAACAATAAAATTGTGATTGGGCCTTAGATGCGTGTTTGGGTAAAATGCAATTAGTTGTTTTATTATGTTGGTTTCTGATAACATTTCTTCAAAGTTTCAAATAAAATTTGTCATTTAGAGATTTTTTTCTTCAGAAAAAAATTGTAAGTTTAAATGACAAATTTGACCCTGGAATACAAAACCAGTCATAAAATGCACTTGTACATTTGTAGGAATAGCCAAAATGATATATTTTTTTATAGTTTATTTTTCTATTACACCAAATAACGGTAACACTTTAGAATAACTATCCGTTATAACTAGTTAATAGACCATTAATAAACTGTTAGGTAACAAGTTGTAAATGACTTGTTTAATAAAAGTTAATAGTTTGTTAATTATTTATAACTGTGCCTTACAGATGGCTAATAGATAACTTACAAGCTGTTAGTTAGCAAGTTGTAAATGACTTACTAACTGTATTTTAATGATTTATAACTATACCTAATAAATTAGTAATAGATCATGAACAAGCGGTTAGTAAATAACTTAATAAAGGCTTGTTAAGTATCAGTTAAAAGTCTATATATGTTATTGGGACGTTATTCTAAAATTGCAGCGGTTTAAATGTTATTAACTGTTAGTAAATGAGGAATAGTTGCAACTTTAGAATAACGTCCCAATAACATGCTTAAGCTAATAACTAACGCTTAACAAATATATTTACTCACACTTTACAGATCAGTTGTTCACCATCTAATAACACAAGTGAAACTTTGTAGAACTTTAATAAAATAATTTATTTATTTATTTTGTTTCATGTTTAGCACTTCATGGGTTTGTATTCTTGTATACTGCTGTACTGCCATGTGATGGTTCAGTATGTGTGTTTCTATACATTAAACACAACGTTCAACATTTTATCTGTGGAGTTTCTTTGGTAAAACACAGCACACAGAAAAGCCTATAAGTGGAACAAGGTTAAGATACAAACATTTTATATTTTAATTATCATATCAAATTTCTGTAGCTTGAACTTGTTCCATCCATTTGCTGTTCTACAAAGTTTCACTGGTATTAGTAGATGGTTAACAAACGATGAACAACTGATCTGTAAAGTGAGTTTTTATATTAGTTAAGTGTTAGTTATTAGCTTAAGCATGTTATTGGGACGTTATTCTAAAGTTGCAACTATTCCTTTATTACTAAAAGTTAATAAAATGAAATAAATGAAAAATAGCTCCAACTTTAGAATAACGTCCCAATCACATATATAGACTATTAACTGATACTTAACAAGTCTTTATTAAGTTATATACTAACCGCTTGTTCATGATCTATTACTAATTTATTAGGTATAGTTATAAATCATTACAGTTAAGAAGTCATTTACAACTTGTTAACAAACAGCTTGTAAGTTATCCATGATCCATCTATAAAGCACAATTATAAATAATTAACAAACTATTAACTTTTATTTAACAATTCATTTATAACTTGTTAACTAACAGTTTATTAATGGTCTATTAACTAGTTATAACGGATAGTTATTCTAAAGTGTTACCCAAAAATCTTTCTAAAATTTGTAATAGTTATTTGTATTACCAGAAATATTATTTGGACAACTTTAAGGCCAAACTTTTCAGTCTTCATGCTTTTTTTGAAGGCTAACTTTACGTTCACACCGAAAGTGGTGAGAGCGTCAAAGTAGCCAGAAGTCATTCATTTTCAATGAGAGCCGACGGTGATAATCGTTGAGGAGCAGCATGGCGCATCTTCGCCAGTGTGGGCGTCGAAGAGAGTTGAAATCAAGTTAACTTTATGATAATGAGCTATGATGCGGTTCGGCGGCAAGCAATCTGAACAAAGAAGTCCGCCACTTGAGAGGAGTCCAGAGAACACAGCCCTGTGAACTTTGGTTCCGACCACAGTTGTTCCCAAGGGTTTGATTATTGTGGTCGCCGGATTTCCTATTATTTACAACGTTTTCTTACAGGAACATGCATTAAATAAGTTACTGGCGAGTTACTAATGTGCATTATTGTTATATATATTTATCTTTAAAAAAGCGGGAACCTCATGCGACAGTACAAAACAGTATTGCTGCTTCAGGATATTTCAGAAATATGGACATATTGGATAATTAAGCGGAGAAAAGCCACACCACATGCAATTTGATATTCCATTTTTGAATAATTTTAATAAGAAGTGTGCAACATTTTCACATTATAAAGCATGCTTTATGCAGGAATCTAACTGATATGCTGCAACAGCCCCTTTAAATACGAGATCAATGTAACGAATTTTGACGCTCTCGTTGCCAGAGCTGAAGGCCGACATCATTGTCGCCAGGTTGGCCAGAGCAACCTTTGACGTTCTCACTGTCTTCGGTATGAGCACACAGTAAGAGTTCATGTTTTATAAATCTAAACCTAAAAAAAGTAAACCTGAAAAGCTGAACATTATAACTGGTTTTGTTATCCAGGGTAAAACATGTTTTAATTTGTTTTCATAAAAAATCTGATTATTCCACCAATTTCTGATTTCTAAACTCCTCTTGGGGTTCAAAAATGGTATTGTGTTGTCTAAAGTTCATATAAATGAATATGAATATAACTCCAATTCTTTAAACAGCAAATAAACACTGTTCAAAAATAACCTTCAAATATTAATCACAGTTGCTTTTTTCCCTTCTGACATTATATGACAATATAATTTGACATGCCTCAACAGCAAATTAAATTTCTAATGGATTGTGTCCAGAATAAACACTGAAATACAGAATTGACACTGAATGAACATTGAAACCAAAATCTACTCAAAACCAAAAATTCACTAAAGAAAAGCATGTGGCAACAAGCTCTGGTCATTAGATTTCCCAAGTACTTGTTTGCATTAGTAAGTGTTGTAGATGTGCAGTACACTTTTCTTATACACCACCTACACTTTGAGAAAAAAACAAAACAAAACAAAACGGTTTGCTTCCCAAACCTGTCAAGATGACTTGCTTTAGCTCACAAGCAAAGTTCAGGAGAGTTTCTTGCAGCTGCTCTTATAGGAAAGTGTCTGCCATGAATGTAAACCCATACGCATGAAGTGAATGTTTTGGGTTACTCACCTGCCAACCAACAGGAACTCTCCAACCAGGCGGCGACGTCTCATGGCCATGAGGATGCCCCGTACGGTCATGCCCTCGCAGAAACATGCCACCACACGAGCTTTGGGCAAGTGACTTCTCAGTTTATCGAGGAGACGGTCAAAGCTCTGCTCTCCAGCATTACTGTAGATCTTGTCGGAGTGGGCAATGCAGATGCCCTCCTTCGCTGCCATGTCTTTGAAGGCCTCCATTCCACTCTCTCCATAATTCCCTAAAATCGAAAGAGTGAATGATTTTTAAAACATCTTTTAAGGCTCAAAGAGGTTGTGACATGGTTATTACACCTTTAATTTCCTTTAGTGTACAATAATATAGTTTGGGATCTGCAAAGAGTCCAATTCAAGAGTTTTTATTTCTATGCTGGGTTGTCATAATTCAATGTTGGGTCAGATATGAACAAACCCAACATTGATTTAATTTCAATTAAATTGAAATGACACTTTTTAAACTAATGGTTGAGTTTGTTATTTTGAAATAATTAAGATCAGAGTCAATAATAAAAAAAAATGTCATGGTTATCACACCTGAAGACACTGTGTGAATTTCAATCAGCTCCCTTGTTCACTAGTCAGGGCACTGATAAGGGAGTCGGCCATTTTGAGGGCTGTCTCTGTCAATCACAAAATACTTCTAGTGCAATGAAACATTTGCTGCCTTACAAGTCTCTCAATGCATTGTGAAAAGAAGGGAGCATCGGTTCTCACTATATTCCCTTAATGGACTTTTCTGAAGTGTAAAGTGTAAATCCTATGCCATGCTTTTTAGTATGTTTCTGCATGTCAGAGAGATGCTGCTACACAGATCTAATATACCGATACACATGTAGTTTCTTCGCCAGCTGTTCACATTAACCTCCTAGGGCTTAGTGGCCACATCCATAAACAGCACATTTTAGCTCTTAAGTGGGTATTTTAAATGCTTTAAAGGTTTTATATTTTGTTACTGACATACAGTGTCAACCTGCAACTGTTTTGCAGCAGATGAAATGTCCCAAACCCTGTTTTTAACAGTCAAAAATGGGCAAATAATGTTGTTTTAACTGTCTGATAGTCAAAACATGTTTAAAAAAATGTGTATGTTAAATATGCATTAAAAAACATTCATTTTTCTTGTCAGCTTAGTCCCTTTATTAATCTGGGGTCGCCACAGCGGAATGAACCGCCAACTTATCCAGCAAGTTTTTACGCAGCTCATTAAAAACAGTCTGGAAAAAGTGTTTTATGTAAATTCTGTCCACAAGTCCACATATATGGACATAATTTTTTCTTCAAAGGTACATCATATCAAAAGATGATACTTAGATTTTATTCTAATTAAGTTCCAATAAACCCAAAAAGAAAAGAGAAATACTTAAAAATAAAAAAACCTTAGGCCTAATAGACATAATAAAGATTATGTGCACTTGATTGTTTTTGTGTGCTTTTGATTTAGCCTTCTGTGGATTTGGCAGTTGATACTGATGAGAATACTGTAGTTTAATATATTAGTTTGTTATTATAAATATTAAATATTAGTTTATTTTGTGATTCTGTGCTAAAAACGGTATATCAAGAGTCTAAACAAGACTTTAAAATACATCCAGGGTTTATTTGTAGTTGCATTGGAGAAGGCATTGCCTGAAGGTATACATGTTGGTATAAAAAGTAGAGGTCAGTATACTATTATGATATCCTTCACAAAAAAACAAAACAAAAAAAAACTTATACTATTATATATACTATTGAATCACGCATGCAAATTTGCAAAACATCAGACTTTTGGTTCCAATCACCTTCTGTAATAGTATCACTTTTACCATGTTTCAGAGAAAACTGACCATGCATTTGAACATTTGTTCTGTCTTTTCCTCTTAGCAGCAAATTTAAACAAAACTGTTTACTGAAGTTTCTTGTAGTTGAAAACAGCAGCGAACTCCGAACACACACTAGTCAGTTACTATAGTTACAGACGGGCTCTCAGTAGCGCTAAACATCATAGGAATTGTGTTCTTAAAGCTGAACAGCATATTTAAATGTCAAAGTAATTATTTTACAGTATGAAACAATAATTGAAACACAATAATTAAACATAAAATGACTAATCATTCTTATTGTCATAATTCAATTTAAGACCCAACACTATTTAGCAAACCAGATATTAAATATTTTGTTTTGAAACTGTTTAACAAAGCTACAACAACAAAAGATGGAAAATAGTAAAACTTGCATCATTTGAAATGTCTCTGAAGTAACATACTGTACGCCAGATTTTGTTGGCATAATCATGAATTTCCAAAAAGTCTGGGTTGATATTGAACACGGTTTTTGAGTAATCATGTAAATTTAGATTTGACAAATGAAACAATACTTTTGGGGTGTTATGTTGAATTTAAATTTAGATTTACTGCACCTAAGTCACCTACAGAGTTAATATTCAATGAAAGGGTTCATATTACATGCTTTGCTTCTTGGAAATGCTCAGAAAGAACAAATAGATATCACTTCTTCATGCTTAGAAAAACTAATGAAAAACAGGCCATGCTGCCCCTCTTTCGCACGTCAGGGGTAAACTCCCCCAATTTACATAAAAATCAGGTCACCTACTTTTGTGTGAGGAATGCTCCCAGTCTTCACACATTTTACGAGGTGCGAATTTGATACAAATGCAGACATGGTTTGATAAAACCCAAACATACAGATTAATTTTAACCACATACACCCATTTCTTCTAAATCAATGTACAAAAATATTCATTAAAATCAAGATTATAAGCTCTGTGGATGGAACTAAAAATAAAATACAATAAATAAATAAATAAAAATAGGCATGTATATACTTGAAGTCAAAATTATTACACCCCCCTGAATTATTAGCCCCCTGTTTATTTTTTTTCTACAATTTCTGTTTGACGGAAAGAAGATTTTTTCAGCACATTTCTAAACATAATAGTTTTAATAACTCATCTCTAATAACTGATTTATTTTATCTTTTTCCATGATGACAGTAAATAATATTTTACTAGATATTTTTCAAGACACTTCTATACAGCTTAAAGTGACATTTAAAGGCTTAACTAGGTTAATTAGGTTAACTTGGCAGGTTAGGATAATTAGGCATTTATTATATAATGATGGTTTGTTCTGTAGACTATCGAAAAAGATATAGCATAAAGGGGCTAATACTTTTTACAAAGTGGTTTTTAAAAATTAAAAAACTGCTTTTATTCTAGATGAAATAAAACAAATAACAAAAAATATTATCAGACATACTGTGAACATTTCCTTGCTCTGTTAAACATCATTTGGGAAATATTTAAAAAGTAAAAAAAATTCAAAGGGGGGGCCAATAATTCTGACTTCAACTGTATAGTTGAACAGAGCAAGGAAATTTTCACAGTATGTCTGATAATATAATTTTTTTCTGGAGAAAGTCTTATTTTTAATTTTTATTTTTGGCTAGAATAAAAGCAGTTAAACATTTTTAAACACCATTTTAAGGTCAAAATTATTAGCCTCTTTAAGCTATATATATTTTTTGATAGTCTACAGAAGAAACCATCATCATATAATAACTTGCCTAATTACCCTTACACGCCTAGTTAACTTAATTAACATAGTTAAGCCTTTAAATGTACCTTTAAGCTGAATAGAAGTGTTTGGAAAAATATCTAGTCAAATATAATTTACTGTAATCATGGCAAACATAAAACAAATGAGTTATTAGAAATGAGTTATTATGTTTAGAAATGTGTTGAAAAAAAATCTTTTCTCTGTTAAACAGAAATTGGGGGAAAAATAAACAGGGGGGCTAAAAATTCAGGGGGGCTAATAATTCTGACTTCAACTGTATGTCCCTGAGATCCCCTATTACCATCACATCCCACTGAAAAGCACTTAACTCCAAGCTGCCATTAGCGTTCCAGTGTGTAAACTGTGTTTGCAAGGTGAGAAATATCCATCGCTGTTCATCCTCACATGAGAGTTTCAAGAAAATATACTGTATCCAAATAATATTGCTAAAACTGCAGCACATATTAGGTATCAATGAAGTTCATTTTCATGTCCACATCATATATGTCTCTGCATGTCATTTATGCAACTAAAAAGTCCTTAAAATATACTATTTAAATATATTTATTATTTATTTATAACTATATGTTACTTAAATATATTTATCCACCAATTCTGGATTTAGCTGATGGAAAAAAAGTGGCAGTAAGAATATTTAGTTTATATGATAAAAATAAGAAATGTTCTTGAGAACCAAATCACACAGTGACCATGTGCTAGCTATACCTTTTGTAATGTTTCAAAATATTATAAAGTAAAAAAAAAAAAAAAAACAGTAAATACAGTAAAAATAAGAAAAATATTTAAAATATTTATAAATCATTTAAAAAATATTTTTTCTTTATAAAACACTGAAAACAAAGATTTATTGGATTAACTACATTTTTTTACGTTAAGTGGTTGCAAGCAATTTATATGGGCTGAATTTAAACAAATTAATAAAGTTGATCATTACCAAATTTAATTAGTAAATTCAGATCATATAAATTGTTTACATCCACTTAATAAAATGTGTTCAATATAATGAATAGATTTTTTAGTGCAGTGTGAAATATCCTCTAACATTTATTCAACGTTGAATACAGTTTTGTAACTCTTTTGCCATTTGTAATGTTTTACGTTGTGTCTCATTCTAAATCACCACAAACTGTTTGCAAAAGTCAGTATGACAGAACAAATATTTTTCAAGAAAAACAAGAAAATTAATTCTGAAGAATTGTGTGATCAACAAACATCCTGTTATCATTATTGCCATGGAGTAAATATTTAAGAAGATATAATTATTATATCATATTGACTATCAAACATATTGACTATCAAACTGATTTCATTCTTGTTCTCTGTGAAGTGATTTGAGAAGTGTACTTCCAAGTGTGCATGACTCCATCTCTAATCTCTCTCCTCAGGGGAAAAAAAAAAACTTTCTCAAATCTTTCATTCCTCGGTGCCAGTTCAGTGAATTAATTCTCTCTCTCTGCGCTCAAACTTCACCAGAACCTTCTGTCTCGGATAAAAATGGATATATGATTAAAGTTGCATAATATTTTCATGGCATTTTATTAATAAAGAGCAAAATAACAAGTGGTCTCGCAATCCAAGAAGTGTCTAAAATGACCCCTGAACACCCTAACAGATATTTTGTCAACCTCGGCTGACTCTTTCCCTCCTACAGAGAGCGAGACGCTGCAGAAGTGACAAGTCTTTAAACAGTGTGTTTGCTCAAACAGGAAAATTCATTAAACGCCCACAGAGCTAAAGATGTAAATGATCATGGGGGTCGCCCTTTCAGCTAATGATTTCTGTTTGTTTTGTGGTCCGCCGTGAGGCCAAAAAAAAAGGGTAAAACAAAAGCGTGGCAGCAACACAATATGCGAGCGTGTCTATTAAACATTCAGTCTGTGTTCGGTCTATGCAAAACATCGTCGGGGTGGTTTTCTAACATCAAAGACTCGCTTGAACATGAGGAAACAATAGATGTATGGAGACTAATCTGTGGGAAGGTACATGTATGACGGTGATTGACGTCGAATGCTATACGAGTATTATAAACTAATAAATGTTACAAAAAGAAATGTTGTAGAAATTAAAAACTTATTCTAAAGTGAATCATAAATCACACTAGACTGTTTATTTGTGGACTGGACTGATCTGCTGCCTCTTTTTTGATTCAACGATTTAAATGATCGGTATAGAGCAATCATTGCTAAACGATTCAGTAAATTATCTGGTCTCTTCAGAATAGGACTATCTGAATCATTGAATCAAACAGTCCACAACAGGACTACATACAATGTAATGATTCAAAAGATCATTTAAAATTTGACAGTAAACAATTTAATTAGTCAAATAACATGTTTAGATAATTTCAACAGTTAACAATTCAGTGATTCTGATAATCTGCAGATAAAAGTCAACGGATTCAGTGATTTAAATGATCCATGCAGAGTATGTCTACAGTTAATGATTCAGTAATTGAAACAAATTATTAAGAGCAAGTCAGGAGTTCATGATTCAGTGATTTCAATAATCTATAGAGCAGGTCAGGAGTAAACAATTCACTGTTTCAAATGATCAATTCAGAGCAAGTCTTCAGGAAATGATACACTGATTAAAAATATTTGTTTAGAACGAGTCTTCAGTCAATGATTAACTGATTCAAATGATCTGTTCAGAGCAAATCTCCAGTCAACAACTCATTAATTCAAATAATTTGGTCAGAGCGAGTATACCGTTAACAACTCACTGATTAAAATTATTTGGTCAGAGTGAGTCTACAGTTAACAACTCACTGATTCAGATGATTATTTCAGAGTAAGTCTACAGTTAATGATTCAGTAAGTAAAATGAACTATTATTAGCAAGTCAGGAGTTCACGATTCAGTGATTCCAATAATTCACAGAGCAAGTCAGGAATAAATGATTCACTGATTCAAATGATCGATTCAGAGCAAGTGTTCAGTAAATGATACACTGATTCAAATTATTCGCTTGGATCTGTTCAGAGCAAATCTCTAGTCAACAACTTACTGATTCAAATGAGTCGGTCAGAGCGAGTCTACATTGAAATTTTCACCGACTCAAATGATTCGGTCTGAGCGAGTCTCCAGTTAACAACTGACTGATTCAAATGATCCATTCAGAGTATGTTTACAGTTAACAATTCAGTAATTGGAATTAATTATTAAAAGCAAGTCAGGAGTAAAGAATTCATTGATTCAAACAATCAATTCAGAGCAAGTCTTCAGTAAATGATACACTGATTCAAATTATTTGCACAGATTTAGTCTCCAGTCAACAACTCACTGATTCAAATGAGTCGGTCAGAGTGAGTCTCCAGTTAAGAACTCACTGATTCAGATGATCCGTTCAGAGTATGTCTACAGTTAGTAATTCAGTAATTGAAATGAACTATTAAGATAAAGTTAGGAGTTCACGACTGATTTCAATAATATATAGAGCAAGTCAGGAGTAAACGATTCACTGATTCAAATGCTTAATTCAGAGCTCTTCAGTAAATTATACATTAATTCAAACTATTCATTCAGAAGAGTCTGTAGTCTCCAGTCAACAACTCACTGATTCAAATGATTGAGCAAGAGTGAATTATAGTACAGGTTTCACTGAATTTACAAATGGGTTCAAAACGAGTTAAAGATGGGATATCCTTAGAGACTGAAGTGCCTCTGACTGATGCCTCGAAAAGAAAGTTATTAATGAATTTTAGTATATATTATTGTAAATGAAAAATCATAATCAGAATAAATTGTCAAGCTTTTAAAGCCCGCTGAAGTCTTTGAATGCAGACATGTCCATATGTGGGTATTACTACCTAAATGGGGAATTTTAAAATAAATGTGATATCAAATTATCACAAATTAATGTTCATGGATTAACCATGGTGCTGTGTTACATAATGAAAAAAACAATAGTATGGTTATATAGCTTTCTTAACACAACAAAATATTAAAGATTTAGACCTTTTGGATGTTTTATATCAACAATTATTACATTTTTGGGGGGGGGAATCAATTTTCATGCAAAATAAATAAAAAATAAATAAACATTCATAGATAAGAATTACTTACTTTTACTACTGTAGTATATAAAAAGAATGCACTATTACTGGGGCAAACATTTTCAGGGTATCTCTATTTTTACTCGACTGTTTGATTTGTGTACTTCATCCACAGCTCAATACAAGCAGTTTTCTTTAACTATTTCTGTAGGATTATATTCGGTTGTTTTCCAAACAAAAACGATCAAACCAAATGTGATTACAAATATTTGATCTGGATTTTATACGTGGTGCCTATAAAATGATACCCATGAAGAAATTATAAAAGGTCAAAGTATGATATCCAACAACTGAAGCAAAAGAAACTGCAGGCAAATGAATCAACATTATGGAGCATTTCACAGCTCTTTGTTTTGTATGTGGGTGAAAACCGGGTTGGTTCCACATTTAACTACACTCTAGCAATTATCACCTGTCTGTGAGCTCATCAATCATCTAGTCAACCCGTTTGAGTTTGTAATATACACAAGGGTAATAATAGTAAACTTAAAGTGGAAACCATTTCATTAAAAAAAACAATAATAAAATTAAATGCATGTAGACTTATTTTAATATGAAAGGATATTTTTGATAGGAAAAAATAAATAAATAAAAATTATATATATATATATATCTCAGTGTAATTTTTATTACTTGCATTTTTTATTACTGGCATTATTACTACATTTTAAATTTTTTTTTGCCATTATTCATTCATTTATTTATTTTTCTTTGACCACAGCAGAAAGGACCGCCAACTTATTCAGCATATGTTGTACACAGCGGATGCCCTTCCAGCTGCAACCCAGTATTGGGAAACACCAATACACACTCATTCACTCACATAAATTACGGCCAATTTAATTTATTCAATTCACCCATAAAACATGTCTTTGGACTGTGGAGGAAACCAGAGCACCCGGAGGAAACCCACACAAACACTAGGAGAACATACAAACTCCACACAGAAATGCCAACTGACCCAGCTGGGACTCGAACCAGTGACCTTCTTGCTGTGACAGTGCTAACCACTGAGCCACTGTGTTGCCATTGCCATTTTTCTCATTGTGATAATAATAATAATAATAATAGTAAATGTTTTTATTAATAATTAACATTAATATATATATATTAACATATATATATATATATATATATATCAATAGAACTTAAGTGAAAAAATAAATGAAAAATGAAAACACACCCATGATAAATCTGGTGTCAAGTATAATTTACTAAATTTATATTAAATCCACAAATTATTAAAATGAATACCAGATAACTGAATATTGACTTAATGTGGCACATTACATGTGAGAAACATTTCCTTTTAAGAATAATAAAGACATTTAGCTCTTTAAGCCAAGATAAAGCAACAGTTACAGTGATACATTATCACCTAATAAAATCCCTCAGGAAATCTCTCATCTTGAGAACGTGGAGGATTTAACACTTTAAATAATAGTGTTATGTGCTGTTAAAGATCTCACTAGAACACTTTTGTGCAGCACTAATGTGAGCAAGAAATTAAACCACCAAGCTGGAAAAAGAAAGAGAGAATTCAGCTCAAAAGAAAGAGAGTTTGAGGGCAGATTTAGTTCAAATGGTGAAAAATCTCATAATAACCCATGAAACTGAAATCCTTCCCCAGAGGCAGAGATCACATACCTTCAGTGTGAATGGCAGAAACGTAGGTCCAGTTGTATCTTTTGACGATGTCCACCATTGCCCGGGCTTGTTGGGCATCAGAGGGCACCACTCTCATGAAGTACTTATACAAAGACTTATCGCTGAGATCCATGCTGGTTGCCGAATACGCGATCTGGGGAATATTGAAGAGCTGCAGGAGATTCTGCACCTGGATGGCCACAGAGCTGGATCCAGGCCCGATCAGACCCACAATAGGCTTCTTCCCTTTCATGGGAGTCCCTCCGCCTTCGGTGGAACATTTAGCCATGCCTTCCTCCTCCTCGGCTGAGACCAGAGTGTCCCGGATGAACTCAATGCTCTGCTCCAGAGCCACGGCAGAATGCCAGCAGGAGTCTCGGATTTCACAGCCTAGGGTGATGTTGGGAAGGATGAGCGGGTCTGCGTTGATGCGGTCCAGGGTGTGCATCATGGCCTCCACCCGCTGGATGCCATACTGCTCTCGGACGGCGCCACACTTGCGCTCGTGGACCTTGTCTGCTGGCGGCTGATGGTGGACGGAGAAAAGTGCCCCGATAATGATGTCTCCAGGAATGTGGGCCAAAACTCGTCGCTCACTAGCCTGGGCCTCGGCTAAAATCCGGGTAGGACCCAATCTATTCCCAATCAGCACAAACACCAGCAAATGAAAACCCCCCATTTCCTCTGTCAGATCAGAGTGTTGGACACAGGTATAGACCCTCAGGGCATCTGAAAGAGTGAGAAGAAGCAGAAATGTTCAGAACAGCACTTTCCCTGGAGATCATCAACCTCCCACTGAATCACAGAGGTGCATATTTGCGAGAGTCGTGATAAGGATGAGCTGTCGCCAGGGCAACGTCTTATTCTAAAGTGTGAGGATTTCTCTGCCTTACTCTGAATATCTGCGGATCTGGAGGAAAACAAAGTTGAAACGCACACCAAGAAGTTCGCTTGATCTCAGATCCCTTTGAAATGCATCACCTGGTTGGAGATGATCAACCTTCACATCTTAAAACATGTATTGATTTAGATTCTTGTGCTGGTTCAGAATTTTGTTCAGCTCATAAAATTAAAGGCATTAAACTTACCTGAATTCAATATTTACTTACCCTTAAGGGGTTATAAACCTTTATGAGTTTCTTTATTCTGTTAAGCGCAAAGAAGATATTTTGAAGAAAGCTGAAAACCTGTAAACATTGACTTCATTCATTCATGCGTTTTATTCCAGCTTGGTCCCTTTATTAATCAGGGGTCGCCACAGCGGAATGAACCAAAAACTTATCCAGCATATTTTTTTTAACGCCGCTGCGGATGCCCTTCCAGCCACAACCCAATACCAGGAAACACCCATAAACTCTTGCATTCACACACACTACGGCCTATTTAGTTTATTCAACTCACGTATACCGGATGTCTTTGGACTGTGGGGAAACCAGAGGACACGGAGGAAACTCCTCCCAAACATGGGAAGAACATGCGAACTCCACACAGAAATGCCAACTGACCCAGCCAGGGCTCGAACTAGTGACCTTTTTGCTGTGAGGCGGTTGTGCTACCCACTGCACTACCACTGACTTCCATGAAAGGAAAAATAAATACAGTAGAACTATAAAAGCCAATGGTAATAATGGTTTTTAACTTTCTTCAAAATATCTTCTTAGCAGGTTTTGAACAAGTAAAGGTTGAGTAAATGAATATAGAATTTACGATTTTGGGTGAACTATCCCTTTAAGTGCCAAATGCGAGTAAAATTGATGATTAATTAATTATGACATTATCCGAGAATGTGAAACAGTTTTGCATGATTATCAAAATCTAAAGCCTGCATTTCAGTGGCTCAATGGTTAGCACAGTCACCTCACAGCAAGAAGGTAGCTGGTTCGAGTGCAGATTGAGCCAGTTGGCTTGCATGTTCTCCGTGTTCATGTGGGTTTCCTCCAGGTGCTCTGGTTTCTGCCACAGTTCAAAGACATGCAGTATAGGTGAATTGGATGAACTAAATTGGCCGTACTGTACTGTATGAGTGTGTGAATGTGGGAGTGTATGGGTGTTTCCTAGTACAGGGTTGTGGCTGGAAGGGGATCTGCCACGTACAACATATACTGGAATAGTTGATGGTTCATTTTGCAGTGGCGACCCTTGATAAATAAGGGACTGAGCCAAAGAAAAATGAATGAATGAGTATGGTGATCATTTCACATGACCAACTCATGATAACAGTGTTTTCAGTATCTCAGAGCTCGTTTTTTTTGTTATATCTTTGGATTATATACGGCACATTTCTGTAAATGGTGTTAAATTAAACATCTTACAATGATTTATAAACCTGAAGACACAACAATAGAGAAGCATTTCTAAAATAAACAAACAAACATACAAACAAACAGGACAAGTTCCTGGTTTTCAGCCAAAACATAATCAATGTGGTTTCAAGCTTTAACACAAAGAAAAAAAAAAATCAATTTTAGCTCATCTATTGTTATACTGCAAGGTTTAAGGGTTGTCATGTCAAGAGAACATCTGTAAGGGATTTGAGCACCATTATTGATAAATGCCCATCCATAATTAATACTACTTTTTTGTTGTAACAGACTTGTAGAAACCCACTTTGAACACAGCCTCATGTATATTTCATAAAATTGATCCTTCATATATTTTTACTCAAGATACAGAGTTGGTATTTGAACACAGAATAATGATCCTCTAGTTTAGATTTTGTTTTCTAATTTCAAAGAATCTATACATTTTTAAACAGCCAGGACTTTAACTCGGCAGAAAACCTGATTTGTTTTAAAGCAAAATTGTTGGGCAAACTTATAAAGCGCATTCTGTTCAGTTGGATCCGTGACAAACCACCAACAGTGGAGATGCATGACGCATAAAGAGCCTGCTAGTTCAGCTATTGCTTAAAAACGCAGCAAGTTATGTTGTGTACATTATATAGATCAAACAAGAGGCATGAATTACTCATTAAAATGTGTCAGACACAAAAGTTGAAAGAGATGTGAGCTGTCCGTGGTGCTGAAAAGCAGTCTGAAACATTAACCAGAAACCTCAATCAATGGATGCCATTGAAAATTAAACTGTGTGGCAAATACCACTTCAGGTCGCCATCAAACATATTCCTACTTATGAACTTGGTTGATTAATAGACAATATCGTTCTAATTAAACAAAAACATGAACACGAACTTAACCAGTAAACATTAGATCGCTATTGAATATTAATACGACACAAATCATAATAAAACTTACCGTTTTGTCGCTATTTTGGTCCATCGCTCGTGTTCTCACTAGCGGAGAGTCTTTGGGTGTATGAGCGCGTGCGATGCGCGTTCACTTCAGCGACAACTCTCGCGCGCGTCACGTGACATGTATTTATTAATTTATTTATTTTATAATATTTACATCTTGTTTTCACAGTCCGTGGAGGCGATAATCAGACTCAAATAATAGACTTAATTAAAATTTCAAACGAATTACGTTCTAAATTCCAAAATAAAACGAAAAGTGGAACATTTTTTGCATAAAAAAACATTTTTATTCAGTGGAAGGTGATTCTTTTTGCATAGGATACATAAAAACCTCTAAAATAAGTTGGACAACTGATTTTGTTTTGTGTGTCAAAATAAACGATTAGCATCTTGTTGTAAATGTTCATGAATCTGGCTTTCCACTGATCAGAAAACGTGTTTATTATTTTCTCTTAAATAGCCCCTATCTTTTAGTGTTTCGTCTTATTTATACGGACACAGCGCCATCATCTGGACACTTTGAACAGTACATTTTATAACACTTCAATGCTGCTTCTCGTGGGCTATTTTTACAGCCTCAATGATTTATCTCACTTTTGCATTCTTCAACACCATACCAGAAATAATTAATAACTTATGGGTTATTGTTGAATTTCATTTTTTTTATTTGTCATTAGAATTATTTGCCTTTTGCTGTCAAGAACAGAGAAGTGTAAGGGGAAGTATGAAGTAAACAGCACCTGTGTATTAGATTGCAACCCAATAACCCCAAACATGCCATGAAGCAGAAAAGAGGGATGGTGAGCCAGAAAGGCAAGACTTGGACCTAAAGTTTTCCATGAGTCGGGTCTAAAAGAGAACAGATAATTCTATAAAACATATTTTTATATCTTATAGAATTGTAAAACTAAATGAATATTCCTGCAGAATATTTCTTGAATAATCTTAGCATATAACTCCAGTTGTGCTTGTGTTCCAGTTAAATTGAGAACTGATTTCTGTTTTGTTTTTTACTTGGAATAATAATTGTACACTAATAATAATACCAACAATAATAATTTTACTTTTAGTTATTATATTAAATATTAAAAATAAATGGGGGGTGGAGGGCTTTTGAGGGGCCATGGTCCCAATATTCAATGCAAAAGACAGTGATGACATCAGAATACAACTATGCATAAATCTGAATAATTTCAAAATAAAACTATGAGATGATTAATTATGCTATTAACATATTCTTGCTCGCTCTCATTGACTACATACAAATAGACTGTTTTCAAATCAGACATTTGTCATTATTAGATTCTCTGTTGCATATTTATCATGTCAAGCAGATATACTGCCACTCACAATCAGTAAATGTTTATTCTTACACAGAAGACTCATTGTGGACACAGGCATACTCAATTTATCTCCAGTTTCTCTAATCAAATTCATTCATTCATTTTCTTTTCGAGTTAGTCCCCTTATTAATCCGGGGTTGCCACAGCGAAATGAACAAACTTATCCAGGACATGTTTTACGCAGCGGATGCCCTTTCAGCTGCAACCCATCTCTGGGAAACAGCCAAGCACACTGATTCACACTTATACACAACAGACAATTTAGCCTACCCAATTCACCTGTACTGCATGTCTTTGGACTGTGGGGAAACCCTACTGACCCAGACGAGGCTCGAACCAGCAACCTTTTTGCTGTGAGGCAACAGCACTACCTACTGTGCCACCGCGTTGTCCTTCATCAAAAACTTCATTCTATCTTTAAAAATATATAATATAGCTTTGATTTGTGGACGTATTGGTCCAGTCATCATCCATTCTGAATGTTCACTGGATTGGAAAAACAATTCTTCATTAAAACAATATTTGTGCATATATTGACTTAATATAACATGCAACTCCAAGCAAGAACATTCTTCCAATATTTCTGCTATTCCGTCATTTAATTACTTGAATTTTGCACCTTTACACACTCTTTACACTCTCCTAGCTTTACCCCTCAAAAATGCCCCCCTCCCCAGGATTTCTGTCAGTCCACCCTTCTGTGTTTGGCCTAAACTGTACTGATTGTAATGAATTGTTATCAGCTATAAATTTTTAATAGAATTGTTTTGTTGTAATTGTTGTGAATAATAAAATCAATAGATAGACAAATCAAATAGCTATTTCAGGACCAAACACATGCAGCATCTTCCCATATCACTTTTGGCCTCTAGAGGGCAACAACATACTTTTTTTATTTCACAGGAACATGTTTTAAATATTAATGTCTTTATCAAGGTTATGGTGTTAGCTCAAGTTTTAACTAAAATAATATTTTGTGATACAAAACGTGAAATACGATTTTATGTAAACCAAAGCATTCAGAAATCCTCTGGCATGAGGCGTATGCTACAAATAAATCTCACCTGATTCTAGTTGTGCTCGTCTATATAAAGCTGATTGCAAGTGTTTGCGCATGTCTGTGGAGCTGTTTTGTATACAATCTTGCGCTGTCGGCTCTGTTTTATCACTTATTGTAACGTTTGATCTTAAAATATTTTTTTCTGAAAGTTTATTAAGTGTATTTTGTGTCAGCTACAGCACTGAGATTCAAAATGCCTACAGAAAATCTTTCAGATAAACGCATGTCCAAGTTCAAAAATAAGGGCAAGGAGCCGACGGTGAGCTGAGCATCCATTCTCACTATTTTCATCCTTTTAACTATTCAGTCTTTAATCTTTTGATATTCACACCGTATCTCCGCTTGCAGAAACTGCGTGACCGCAGAGTTGCGGAGTGTGTTGAGCTTCGTAAAGCTCAAAGGGTTGAGGGTATCATGAAGAGAAGAAATATTACATCCTTGGGAGATGAAGAACCTCTCTCACCAGAGTTTAACACGGACAATGAACAGGTGTTGACTGATTTTTTTTTCTATTAATTAGACCTCACATTATTGCAGTACTCCTACAACTTGCTGTTTTTATTAAGGTCATCTGTACAACAATTGAAGAAATTGTTGCAAACGTGAACACTGACTGCCCAGAGAAGCAGAGGAACGGTTGTCAAGCAGCAAGGTCTAGTTACAAATGTTAATTTTACTATCAATGATATCCTGGTGTGTTAAGCAAGGGTGTCCAAACTTGTTCTTGGAGGGTGCACCTACAGAGACGAGCTCCAGACTTAATTTAAATGTGTGAACCTGCTAATAAGTGTCTTTTGTAATCACTAAATTTACAGGATGATGTGCTGGAACTATTTGGAGCTAAAATCTGCAGGTCAATGCCCTTTTAAGAAATTGGATTGGACACTTGTGTTATGATTATCAACCTTTAGTTTGGTCCCTACAGAAAGCTGCTTTCTCGGGAAAGGAACCCTCCCCTGAAAGAGATCATTGAGGCAGGACTTCTGACCCGCTTTGTGGAGTTTCTAGGCAGGAACGATGACCCCACGCTGCAGTTTGAGGCTGCTTGGTCGCTCACTAATGTTGCATCTGGCACCTCCTGGCACACACAGCAGGTGGTAGAGCACGGTGCGGTGCCAGCCTTCATCGCACTGCTGGCTTCACCATTGCTGAACATCAGTGAACAGGCTGTCTGGGCTTTAGGCAACATTGCAGGTTAGGATCATTTAAGTTCCAAGGGGCCTCTGCATCTTAAAAGCATGCTAAGATTGAACACTTACTGTTTTGCTTTGAGAAACCTTTATACATTGATATTCAGAAATTAAGATGCAAGATTTTATTTATTTTTGGAAATTGCTTGCCAATGCAGTCATTGTTTTTTATTAGGTGATGGTTCCTCCTATAGAGATGCCTTGATTGACTGTGGGGTAATCCCTGCGCTGTTGGCACGGCTCACTCCAGATGCTCCAGTGAGTTTAGATTTACTTTCCTAGACCTCTGGAGTTGCAAATGTAAATAAACACAGAAAAAATAAACCCCACAATGTTTTGCAGGTGGGATACCTTCGCAATCTCACATGGACCCTGTCGAACCTTTGTAGGAACAAGAATCCCTTTCCCCGTTTCAGTGCTGTCCAACAAATGCTCCCCTCTATTATTCAATTACTCCATCACAGTGACAAATCCATCCTGTCTGATGCATGCTGGGCCATTTCATACCTGACTGATGGACCAAATGAGCGAATTGATGTGATCATCAAGGCTGGAATCCTCACACGGTTGGTTGAACTCTTGGGCTTTGAGGAACTTGCTGTAGTGGTAAGTACATCTTTAATATTGAATCTTTATTTTTGGGTTGACCTTGGACTAAAGACTCCAATTCTCCAGACTCCAGCACTACGTTCGATTGGGAACATTGTTAGTGGCTCAGACCTGCAGACGCAAGCGGCCATTGATGCAGGTGTGTTGAGTGCTTTGCCCAAGCTGATGCGGCATCAGAAGTCCAGTGTTCAGAAGGAGGCAGCTTGGGCAGTGTCCAACATTGCAGCTGGACCCTGCCAACAGATCCAACAGCTCATCACGTGTGGATTGTTGGCTCCACTAGTGGATCTACTAAGGAATGTATGTCATAACTGATGCCTTGCTTGCATGTTTATCTTCTGCCCCCGCAGAGTTCCCCATAAAATGCTTTGGCTTTGATTGTGTGCTTCTAAAGCTGCTCATAAAATGAGGCCAATTATACAAGCAGTCCCTCTTGGGGCCTTCTCGAATGTAGTTGCATTTCCAGTTGGCAAAAGTGCACCGTAACACGTATTGTCAAATCTTTGAGGTAATCTAGAAGAATGTCTTCACTGAGCAACTGGCTAAACTGAATTCTGTCTTGTCCTGTGCCCCCCTCCCCACCTTTTATTTTATTTTTTTGTAGGGTGACTTCAAAACCCAACGTGAGGCAGTGTGGGCAGTGACTAACTACACAAGCGGTGGGACTGTAGAGCAAGTCGTTCATCTGGTCAAGTGTGGTGCTTTAGAGGCCATTTTGAACTTACTGCAAGTTAAAGACACCAAGACGGTCTTGGTCATCTTGGATGCCATCAGTAACATTTTCCTGGTGAGTCTGCTTTTGTGTGGCTTTATGCAAAATCCTACTCCATCCCCCAGTGGTAGGCATTGTGTGGGATATGCTAAAATATTAACCACGTGCCTTCTGCAGGCTGCCGAGAAACTAGGGGAGGTGGATAAGCTTTGTTTGTTGGTGGAGGAAGTGGGAGGGCTGGATCGAATCGAGTTTCTTCAGAACCATGAGAACAATGCTGTTTATAGAGCGGCTCAAGCTCTAATTGAGAAGTATTTCAGTGAGGTGGGTGTCGTTTTTAAATGATTTTGTTAGCATGGAGACATTTGACATTACTGTAACACTTTGCAAATGCACCTTTTGATCTTGTGACCTGCTTTGCCATAGAACTTTTTTTTTTTTTTTCCCATCTGCATTTATTATACACCTTCCCATTGTGATCTCTTGTTCACTCAGGATGGTGAAGATCAGTGCCTGACAACTGAAGCCACAGATGCAAACTTTGTCTTTGGAGCATCTGACGTCCAAAAGAGATTTGATTTTTGATTTCTTTTAAAATGATTGCATTTAATAAATAGATATTTTTGCATTATATTCTTGCCTTGTTTTAATTTTTTTTTATATTAAATTATTTATATTAAAGGGCACCTATTTTACCACTTTTTCAAGATTTAAGAGGATTCTACTGTCTCCCAGAATGTCAACTTCAGCTTAACATCCATAAGATTGTTTTTTTTTTTTAGCTTTCAGAATGCTGTAAATTTTCTGCTTTGAACACACTGTAGCTGTTTTTGTTGTCTGTGCCTCTTAATGTTAAATCTCCCCACACACTATTCCTACATGCCTGTTAGTGTATCTCAATCAGACATGAAGCAGACCTCCTGTAATGTTTGAAAAATACTAACAGTAACTTTCAACTTTATTATGTATTTGAGGAATTGGATTGTAATGACATTTGTGTGTTACTCAAAGTTCTCACACAGAGTATGTGTTTTTGCACCGTAATTTTTTATTTATTTATTTTTTTTTAAATAAACGTCAGGAAATTTAAACTCTTATACACTACCTATACCTACTAAACTGCTTCCAAAAGATTTTCATCATAGGTGCCCTTTAATAATGATTCTGGAAAAACCCAGAAAGGCAAAAGATTTTAACTTTTTAGTGGCTAATTCCTATAAATTCATATTGTCATTTAATTTGGTTTGATCTGCTCCTAACCCAATGATGTTGAAGGGCATGGTTTGGTGCCATGGCTTTTTAAAAATCCAATGTTTTCATAGGACCAAACTTGTATGAATTAGCCACTAAACTGACAATTTAAATTGTTTTCTTTAAGCGCAGGCTAGGAGACAAAGTAGCCCAGTTTTAAAGTTCAAATCTGTATGGGCCACCTAAATGTGCCAAGTCTCGAGACCAATTATCTTGTTTGGCCGTATATGCACACTCCAAGACTGCAGTAGATACAAGACTAATTGCAATTTAGTATACAAATAGACTCTGATTATCTGAGACTCATACAAAATTCATATGCCTGCTACTTGATCTAAATGAAACCATTTTTTTAAAGGTACTTGAGCATCTTAATTGGGGGGAGGTTATATTTGCTAAGACTGGACATATTTTGATCTGAAACATAAACCGTAACCGTTGTGTCTTGAGAGCTTTAATTAAATTACCCTCTAAACATGCCCTGTAACTTACATTTAGAATTTGACATTGGACAAACATGAACATCCTCCAGAATTTCTCACATTCATGCATCATTGTCACACCTTAGAAACATTCCCATTCATATTGATGGCTGTGAATGGTGGTCCTCTTATAGTCTCTTAATCCTCATCATCATCACACTCGTCCTCACTATCAACATCTTTTTCCTTTTCTTTTTCCTTTGGAGGCGCTACAGGTGGAAGATCCAGTCGTGCCCATGACATTGGTTCTGCTTTCTTCAACACAATCTCAATTTTGGTAGCCATCATGTTCACCAAGCTTTTACTTGGATCGATTACCTTAAGGGGGAAAAAAAGACAATCTTAGACTTCTAGTACTTGGTTTAAGTGTAAGACCTTGATGTTTTTTTTTCCTTCTTTCAACTTTGAAATAAAATAATAAATACTGTTATAGTAGCATAGGAGAATGTTAAAACGTGGAGATCTTTGGGAAGCCTATCCGAGAGCAATGTATAATTTGGTAATGCTAATGTCTCAATGTATAGAGCAGGGATCACCGAACTTGTTCCTGGAAGGCCAGTGTCTTGCAGATTTTAGCCCCAACCCTAATCATACACACCTGAACAAGCTAATCAAGGTTGGAGCTAAACCCTGCAGGGACACCGGCCCTCCAGGAACGAGGTTGATGACCACTGGTATAGAGCTTTCATGAAAAACACTTTACTTACCCCCCATAAACTGATCTGCTTCTCAAATTCCTTCTCTCCTTCAAATATAATGTGGATTTTGAGCTGTAAGTATAAAAACCTTGTTTTGTAAATGTAAACATGAATAATGCTAAAACACAAACATTTGTGTAAACGTGTATAAATCACTTATCTAAAATTTTATTTAATGTCACAAGTGACCCTGTTTTCTTACCACAGTGCTGTTCCCCTCTACCAAGCTCAGCTCTGGTACTGAGTTTTTGGCATAAATGGAAATGATGACCTGACTTCCTGTTTGGTGCCAATCAAACCTGCAAGGTACAACTTTCTTTCCCTGCACACATACATAAAACGTCACCCTTCACATGAAGAAAAATTATACACACTCAACATCATGGTCTTCAACAAATTATTTGGCAATTTGCAAATTGGATATGAGCCCATGCTCTTTTTGTTACTTCTATAGTGTTGTTACTAGAGCTGCAAGGTATTGGAAAAAAATTGATACTACAGTATTTAGTTTTTTAGCGATAAATTAATTTTTCTTTTCGACTTATTCCCTTTATTAATCTGGGGTCGCCACAGCGGAATGAACCGCCCACTCATCCAGCACATGTTTAACGCAGTGGATGTTCTTCCAGCTGCAACCCATCTCTGGGAAACATCCACCCACACTCATTCACACAAACCCTCATACACTATGGACAATTTAGCTTGCCCAATTCACCTGTACCGCATGTCTTTGGACTGTGGGGGAAACCGGACCACCCAGAGGAAACCCACGCGAATGCAGGGAGAACATGCAAACTCCACACAGAAACGCCAACTGACCCAGCCAAGGCTCAAACCAGCGGCCTTCTTCCTGTGAGGCGACAGCACCACCTACTGCGCCACTGTGTCGCAGCGATATGAAATATACTTCACTAGATAGATTAAATAACTTTTTGAAGAATTATTTCAGAACAATTAGGGTGATTATATAGGAGAGTGTCTGCATAAATTATTAAAATTAGGTTTAATGCACATGTTTTTACTTGATGTAATCTCAACTGAAACATGTTTCTATTTAGTGTATTTAGTAATATTTAGGTTTTATTAAAGAATTAAATTATTAAAATTAAATTTAAACTAGATTTTTAGTGGAAATCATACAAGTGAGGGAAAAAAGTGCTTTGTTATATTTGTCTGCTAGGTTTTAATCTGCTTGTTAAGTCGTGACGTATGGAATACTGTTTCCGGGTTCAAGCTGCTACTCATTTGAATATTTTTTTTTACTCAATTTCTGTTTAATGGAGAGATTTTTTTCAACTCATTTTTAATAACGGATTTATTTTATATTTGTCATGATGACAGTAAATTATATTTGACTAGATATTTTTCAAGACAATTCTATAAAGCTTAAAGTGACATTTAAAACCTTAAATAGGTTAACTAGGCAGGTTAGGGTAATTAGGTAGTTGTTGTATAACAATGGTTTGTTCTGTAGACTATCAAAAAATATATAGCTTAAAGGGGCTAATAATAAAAAAAAATAAAACTGCCTTTATTCTAGATGAAATAAAACAAATAAGACTTTCTCCAGGAGAAATTTTTTTTATCAGACATACTGTGAAAATTTCCTTGCCCTGTTAAACATCATTTGGTGAATATTTTAAAAAAGGAAAAAAAAATTAAAACGGGGTTTAATAGTTCTAACTTTAACTCTGTGTGTGTGTGTGTGTGTGTGTATATATATATATATATATATATATATATATATATATATATATATATATAGCGATCATGCTTTTTTCTAGTAATACATCGCTTTCTAATCATTTATTACAATTCGTTGAGTCTTCCCTTACAGTTTGATAGAGCGATTGGACTCGGAAGCCAATTTGCGTAACGTCACACTTAACAAGTGGATAGCAGTTGGACCCATATTTAAAAAAATATAATATAAAATCAAACATGGTAGTCTTCACTATAAAATGTGTTTGTTAAAGCTACACACGTTCTTGTTTTTTGTGCTTGAATCCTTTAATCTCTGTGTTTACCAGGGGAGAAAAAACTATTGCTATTAATACACTTTAAATGGTTAAACGTTCTATTAATCTACAAGCTACTGGTATACTTGACATTGAGATCCTGTGATGTGACTATTGCGCATGCGGACATTTCGATGCTGAAACGATATAATTTGCAGCCCTAGTTGTTACGCTGCTTTATTGGACTGAATGAAAAGATACAGTATAACTGTGAAATGTTAGAGGATTTTAAAAAAATCAATTCAAGTAATATAGTGCTTTGACTTTTAAATCCCATCTCAGACACTTACTGCATCTTTTTTCTTCCACTGATGCTTTCCGCGGGTACAACCCTCCTGAGACAGAAACGTGTTGAAGTCTGAGGTTTTCCTCTTACAGCAGCTCCAATATTTCATCCTTTTATGAGGAAAGATAAAAAAAGCCTTAATTGCGGAGTCTGCGGATACATCTGAGATTTCTCCATCCATACTTTTCTAGCAGTAGCTAATTTACCCTTCATGGAAAATAGGCACGCCAGCGTGATACAAACAGGTCTCATCATCACTGGCTTGTCCAGCGAATGTCTGAAAAGCAGAACCCATTGTTTATAATGGACTAAAGAGACTCAATGTGCCATGGTTTCTAATCTAAGAAGCAGGCAGAGAGAACAGTACCTTACTGCAGCCTCCATTCTTACAGGACGTCCCTATCTTAATTTCATCACTATCCTCCTCTATAATACAAGAAAGAGAATAAAATGCATCAGAATAAAAGACAAATATGGAACGGGAGGGAAAAAGAGGGTCTAGCTTTTCGTACCTTTTATCTCATGTGCATTTTCCTCAGTTAATTTGAGCTTTTCTAAAGCCTGTTTGAGTGAAGGGGAGATCTTCGATTGCAGGATAGAAAAAGGCTCATCTGGACTATAAAGACAATAAAAAATGTCAATTTTCAGTCATTTATTATTGTTAATTATTAAAGTGAGTTTCAGCTTGGTGGATTGCTAAAGAGAAGTAGTTGTACTCTAAAGTAAATTTAATGTTGAAGTATTTTATCATCTGCACATCTGAGCTAATGAACCAGAAAATACAAATGTCCTCTTCAAGTGTGCATTTACCTTGGTCGCTGAATGGATTCAAGAGGTTTTGGTGCTTGGATAATAAATTCATCATACTTTGGCTTCACATCATTCTTGTCTAAAGAAGACTTCACCTCTGGTTTCACAGGTTCTGCGGGCTTCTCCTGATTATGAGGGCCTTTCGTGCACCCCTAAGATTTAATAAAACATATGAACATGGATAGGGAGTATTTATGATACATGCATTTTAAATACGCATTTTAAATACAAAACAGTATTTTGTAATTTGTATTTGATAGGTTTGATGAAAATGGCTTGAAGGTGCAGTAGGTGATTGTCTTTAGAAACATTTTTGTAAAAAAATTATCTACATACATTTATATGTATTTTTATATTCTGGGTAAGGCATAAAACTAAAAAATGTTCATCCAATTAAATATTGTCGGGCTGACATCTCACATAATTCCTATAAGTAGCTCAAACTGTCTGTCAGCAAATGTAGATTCGGACTTCTACGCATCTCTGTTTACGTAGATCCGCTATCCGTGCATGCGTTCACGAGACAATCACAGACGCTGTGAAATCAAATGCTGAATCAGTATTAGAGATACTTTTGCACGCTGGAGAAAGGACGACACCATGGCTGAAGTATTACTGTTAGACAGGTAATGTTCTGTTTTAAAACTATTTTAGTCAGGCTAAGCTTATGTTAGATTGTGTTGTGTTATGAATGACTTATATGCACAGATGTGTTGTGAAGCCACTGAAATCTCCCGGCGAAATATTGATGTGACTATTTTCAGTTTTATAAGGGCCTTTTACAGCATCAATAATGTAGATTTTTATTTAGTTTAACAATAAAACATCTGTAAATAGCGCTATTCCACCTAACCTGCTTTATTGAGCTGAAGTTGCTTTTATATTCACATTTGCTCATTTTTAAACAATGGCAGCCTTCCTATACTGTTTACCATGCTACCCTGAATATTTGCTCTGAAATAGCATGCAAGTATGGCTTAGTAATGAATGTAATTCCTGCATGCCGCCGGCCTAAACTGGCGAATAACATGAACTAGTAGGTTGTCTACTGTTGTGAAACGGTTTGCGTGTTTGCAATTTCAGGAGGCGTGGCTTTGAATCACAGTCCCTTCCCACCATCCAAACATAATATGCTAAGCGGTTAGCATTTTGGCAGATCACCTACTGCACCTTTAATATTTCGTATCAAAATACTTTTGTGTCTTGCATTTTTGTAGTTTCAAAATACTGTAAAATCCTTTGCAAGAAGTCTACGGTACATGATGACAACTTATAAATGAGGCCTCTGATTGTTGTCTGAAAGCTTGAGATCAGAACAGAAAACTGATTCATTTTTAAGAAGGCTGGAGGTCAATGATTAGATTATGGATGGAAAATATGCTTAAAGAATATAACAGACAAATGCTGGAGGTAGATTCAGGAGCAAGTCAACATTTTTTGAAAATAGTATACTGAGCAATGCTAAGACTAGAAATATATAATGGGCCAGTGTCCTGATGAGTTTAGCTCCAATCCTAATTAAACACACCTGAACCAGTGAATCAAGCTCTTACTAGATATACTAGAAACTTCCTGGCAGGTGTGTTGAAGCAAGTTGGAGAAACTCTCCAGGTCACCGGCACTCCAGGACCGAGTTTGGACACCCCTGCTGTAAACTAATCAATTCAGCATCTTTGCTTAAGAAATTACATGGAATAAAATGTCAGTCCTGGAGAACAAAATGAGGAGCTTCAGAACATCATCAATCTCAGTCTTAATGCTGTAGGTTGAAATGCAGAGGAACTTATAAATATACTGCCATTTTGTTCACCTATAGTAGGTTGTGGCCTAATGGTTAATGAGTTTGACTTTGTAACTCAAAAAGAAAGTTACCTTTGGGTTACAAGTCCAACTTACAAACCATTAGGCCACAACTTCCCCCTATAGGTGAACAAAGTGGCAGAGAAAAGCTGTTGCTATCAAACAGTTTACTTCTCTAAGTCAATTTAATTGTTAAAGGATTGATCCAACAGGCCTATTGATGAAAGGTTTGCAAAGAAATTGTATGCTCCCTTGTAAGAGTATTTTGTAGTATTTTTAAAATACAAAATGCAGTATTTTATTTTAATAATTGTTGTAGCTGTAATTTGTAGTTTATTTTGATACACTTAAAATTGATGTATTAGGTATTTTATTTTAAAATACATTTAAATGCATTTTTGCCCATCCCTGCATATGAACATGCTAAGGCTGCAGACAATTCAATAATTTTAAACCATATGAGCAAATACGCATCTCCCATTTATGAAAAGCTTATCCGATCTCATGGATGTATACTAGATATGGCATACGGACCCTGAGCATGCGTCAATAGCACTGCCACATTTGTACAGTGCTCCCAGCACAAATGTCATTCAATCGCACTAGTCAGGACAGTGTGCCAACATGAAGATGCTGGACTTAAGCGCTGTGTACAAGTATAGTAACGAGCAAACAAAGCACAAAGGCAGAACATTTCATAGGTAAAATTTCATTTTTACCTTTTTATATGTGACGAACTTTTGTGCTCAACAAGTAACATTATTGATGATAATACAGTCACTTACTGCACTGACCATAAGGCAAAGGAGCACCAACTTGCACTAAACACTCGGCTTATGCTAGTTTTGTTGACTAAAATCAGCAAACAATGTAAATGAAATATGACATGACGCTGCGGTGCTAGAAACTTGTATTATTGTCGGCTAAGAGAACGAGTCGTTCATAATGGGGATTAATTCACAATTGAATCGCTCCCTCATTTGTAAGAAAAGTGAAAGCAGGAGAGGGGGTGTGTTTTAGGACATGGATTAGATCAAATCTTACAGGAGGGAGGATAATACACTTGCATGTACACAAACGCATGCTCTTCATCAGAAACGCCCCTGCGGTCACTTATTTATCCATGTAAAAAAGGGATGTAAAATTATAATTTTCGCAAGTAAAAAAAAAAAAAAAAAAAAAAAAAAAAAATATATATATATATATATATATATATAGCATAATGACCACCGGGAAAACTCTCAATCAGATATATGCATATTTGTGCAAATCTCTTGCTCTGGATGACCACAGTCCTCCACTGCAGCTTGGTCCTGCATTCATTTGAAAGGAGCGCAATCCTGTACTAAAAAGGCGGCTCTATTGACGCATTCCTTCCAACAGACAACAACAGGGCAGGAGACAACTAATGTAAATATCTATGATCTGATCTCATCTGCAGAACTTACTGCAATACTGAGGAAATCTGAAAAGTCAGTAGTTCGTCTCTTGCAGCAAGACCAACCCTAGGGAAGCAAGGCGAGAGACAATTTAATATGATTGATTATGAAAAACAGTAAATAAAGGCAAGATAATATTCTATAATATTATCAATGATGAACTGATCTTCACACCTTTAATGCATCATGAAACACTGGCACTCCAGGATGATATGTGCATGCATCTGTGGAAGAAAGTGATTTACTGTGAAAAGTGACGTCAAAACAGTATAGTCACATGTTCGTGTATATACCTACAGTTAGCAAAACACTCCAACTGCTCAGCTACAGGATTGTTGGTTAAGAAGTTAATATATCTGTCTTGTTTTAGCCATCTATAAAATAAATATCAGCTTATTAACTGTGCTATCGATTGTTTCATTCAAACATTTATTGTAGATACTTTACTAAATGCTAACATGCTAAATAGCGGTAAATTAAACTAACATGCCAATCATTTGTAAGGCTGTCATGTTTGGTTAATAAAACATATTTTATATGTAACATGTATAAACTATTATTAATCAAAAGTAAGTTAGGGTTTGCCTCTTGATTTACCTTGCTAACTTGTCTACCATAGCAACCGAGCTATCGCTTATTTACTATTTAAAGTCTTACCATCTGAATTCTTTTCGAGATCAAAACGCTGTCCACATCCCTTATTATAACACATTAAAGACATAATGTTTGATAGGAAATACTAGCGTATACTGTACAAGTTGTTTGAGAAGGAATGTTATCTTGACTAGCTCGCTGCTGCCGCTGCTTCCCGTGGTAAAGTCCTTCCGGAATCTTTCGTGTATTTCCGTATGTTGTCGAGCAGTGCCTCGGCTCCAATCGTGTGATTCCGGAATCGCTCGGTATTAGTTTCCGTGATGGAATCACGGAGTGGGACTGTGTGAGAGATGGGATGGTCCGCTTGACAGAGTTTAAAATAAAAACACAGACAAGGCTGTGCACAAAAACTAACCTTGTTCAATACGTTTAAAACGTAACATTTAATTATCCTTATCATTACATCCTTATTACAAACGTATTCTAAATAATGAATATATGTGAAACGAATGCGCTTTGAACTATATTCAAATGAACAAGATTATTGTTCGCTCTTTCTTATCTTTAACTAATTAATTGAATTGTCATGTAATCGTGTAAGATAAGGTTAAGATCTTAGTGTTGCTATGGGACAGCAGCAGCAACAGCGGTGTCATTTGCGCATTCACGGGATAACGTGCCGTGAGCGCGCTTCAGGAGATGCGCGCTCCTCTGATTACAGTCAACTGTGAGTGGCAGTGAGTGCTGTATGGCAAGAAAGAAGTGAAGGATGTAGTTTCACGGAGCGGGGTCTCGGATGTCTGCAGCGCACAGATTTCTTTCTCCCTAAGCCAGAGGTAAGAGCTTATTCACATATTTTGATGCACTAATTATCGGAGAACAACGGAATGCTCGCTCACGCTAATATACATTATTTAATAGACCCCACAGCGGTGAAAGTTTCCTTTGATGGCAATCGCATATTGTTGGAGACTCGTGTGTTCTTTGGAGAAATCGGGTTTTGTTTGACATAATCAAAGTTGTTTACTTTAAATGCCTCAAAAATAATTGCAACTGTGGATGATTTAGATATCTATGTTGTTGCTCTAGTAAAATTTATTTGATATGAGCTTTTCATATACCTTTTATTCAGATATCTTTTTGTTTGTTGCTCTTGTAAAATTAATTTAATATTAGTTTTTTTCAATATTATTTGTTGTAAAAATGTCCTTTTACACTTCATTTGTGCTCTTATCAATTTAATTAGATTATCTGTCTTGTCAATCTTTTGTGAAAGGGTGTTACTGAGTCCACTGAGAACAGGGTCAGGCATATATAATTTTTTTTTTTTTTTTGACAATTTAATCCAAACCAAGGGCTTCTGAATAAATAACTGCCTTGAAGTTTATTTGAGCAATAAGATATGTCTATGAGAGATGAATGCTCTAGATTGAAACGGTTTACTGCATATATTTCTCTTATTTGCAGGGTAACTGGATGATGGCATGGCTATAAACCGCTGCCCTGGGGGCAGTATGAGGATCCATCTCACCAGTTTCTCCTTATTGCTCCTCCACTTGCTTTCCAGTTTGGGGCAACTACAGGAGCCAGTGTCCACCTCTATTCAATTTACCAGCTCCATCTACAATGCCACCATTTATGAGAACTGTGCAGCTCGGACATACATTAGGACTGATGTTAAAATGGGGATTGTTCTGTCTAAGTTGGGTCCTTTAGACATCGAATATTCCATTGAATCTGGAGACGATGAGGGGCTGTTTCAGGCAGAGGAGTTTATGTTGGGGGACTTTTGTTTTCTCCGCATACGGACTAGTGGTGGCAGCGCTGCCATTCTGAACCGGGAAGTGCAGGATAATTATACATTAACTGTGAGGGCTACTGCCGGAGGGGGGCTGGAGGCTTCTGTGACAGTTAATGTGCAAATTATGGACATGAACGACCTCCGACCTTTGTTCTCTCCCACTTCCTATGCCATTAATATTCCAGAAAGTACTCCTTTGGGATCAAATGTGGCTCAGGTGACTGCCACTGATGCAGACATCGGCTCCAATGGCGAGTTTTACTATTTCTTCAGAGAAGAGGTTGAGGAGTTTGCTGTCCACCCAACCAGCGGGGTGGTATCACTCACAGCTAAGCCCAATGCAGATAAAAAGAGCAGGTTTGACCTTGAAGTTTTAGCAGTGGATCGTGGAATGAAGGTTTATGGGAACAGCGGTATTAGCAGTACAGCCAAACTAGTGATCAGTGTTCTGCGTATCAATGAGTTTCCACCAACTCTGACTGCAGTCGCACTTTACCCTTTAATATCAGACAAAGAGCCGGTTTATGCTGTTGTTACTGTTGAAGACTTGGACGAAGGACCCAATGGAGAAATAGAGTGGGTTGCCATTATTGCAGGTGATCCTCAGGAGCAGTTTGTCCTTGACAGAGCTCCACTTGGAAATGAGTACAAGCTAAAGATGTCTGAGCCTGTCAACTGGGATAAATTTCCTTACGGTTGCAATCTCACTTTTCAAGCCAAAGACAGAGGCACACCACCAAGATTTTCGAGCGCTCAGACTGTACAGCTCCTAGTGAAAAAGCCACAGTCTGTGCAAGTGAGTTTTGAAAGGAAAACTTACAAAACTTCAATTATTGAGACTGCACCACCATGGACCATTGTAGAAACTGTGAGGATATCCCCAAGACCGCCGGTTGTCAGCTATGCCCTAAGTCTGACCTCTGATTCAATATTTTTTATAATTAATCCACTTACTGGTGTTATCACGACAGCACAAGAGTTTACCACATTAAGCCACATTAAGGTTTTTAATTTAGAGGTGATGGAGACAGTGAGTGGAATGACAGCAAAAGTGCAGATCAAGGTTGAGGATGCTAACAACAATTCACCAATATTTACCAGCACATTTTATGAAGTTTTTGTAAATGAGAGTATTCCCATTGGCACAGTCATTCTCACTCTATCAGCAGTGGATGATGATAAAGGTGAGAATGGGTGCATAACATACAGTATAGCCAGCCTTCAACCACTACCGTTTATCATTAACCAAACTACAGGAGAGCTAATGACATCCAAAGAACTGGATTTTGAATCATCCTTGGAGACGTATGTATTTGCTGTCCGGGCCTCAGATTGGGGCTCACCTTACAGACGAGAAAGTGAGGTAAATGTTACAGTTCAAGTCTTGAACATCAATGACAACCAACCCCTTTTTGAGCGTGTGTCATGTAAAGGTGCAATAGGACGTGATTTTCCTGTTGGTCAGACCATCATCATAATGTCTGCCATTGATATTGATGAGCTTGGATTGGTTAAATATGACATTTTGTCTGGAAATGAGCAAGATGTATTCAGTCTTAACCCAGACTCTGGGATGTTGTCTTTAAAAAGACCCCTCAGTGCAATGAGTGCAAGGATTGAACAGTTTAACTTGAAAATAGTTGCGTCAGATGGCGAGATGCTCTCTGAACCCACATTTGTAAATATATCATTAGTCCGAGGCAGTATGCCAGCAAGGAGTTTTAATTGTCGAGACACAAAAGTTGCACAAAAGTTAGCTGAGAAACTTCTGAAACGAGCCACTGCTATTAGCAAATCCAAAGTGGAGGAAGGCTACACAGATCTGTTTTCTGTCAACAAACAGACACCTCAGTTTGAATCCTTTCCATCAGATATTGTAGTTCGTGAAGACATGCCTGTGGGAGCAAGTGTCCTTCAGGTGAACACAAATGATGGTGACACAGGCTACAATGGTCGCATCCTGCACGCCATATCAGATCCGAACAGTGACAGCTGTTTTAATATTGACATAGAAACTGGCCTAATATACATCTATCAGCCGCTGGACCGTGAACGTTCAGACCGGTACCTCCTTAACATAACTGTATATGACTTGGGCATTCCACAGAGATCCAGTTGGAGATTGTTAACTGTAAACATTGAGGATGTGAATGATAATAGCCCAGAATTCTCCCTCGAGAGCTACACTGCTGTTGTAACAGAGAACGCAGCCATTGGCACAGAAGTGATCCAGGTCACAGCTTCAGATAATGATCTTGGCGTGAATGGTGAAATTTCATACACCTTGTTAACAAACACCCCTCTGTTTTCCATAAACAGCGAGACTGGTTCTGTTTATGTGTCTGGTCATTTGGACAGGGAGTCCATTTCTGATTTCACTCTCAAAATTCAAGCGACAGATAAGGCAGAAAGAGGGAATCAGATGTTCTCTGAGACAACACTGAGAGTCTACCTTGAGGATGTAAATGACTGTGCTCCTGTGTTTATTCCCAAGAGCTACAGTTGCCGTGTTTTGGAAGACCTTCCCATAGGTGCAGTGATAGCTTGGCTGCAAACGCAAGACCCGGACATCGGATCTGGTGGATGGGTGAGATACTCCCTGCCCAACGACTTCAACGGAACATTTAAGATTAATTCTGAAAGTGGTGCCATTAAGGTGGCTAAGGATCTGGATTATGAGAAGCAACAGTTCTACAATCTCTCACTAGTTGCAGAGGACTTGGGTTTTCCTGTCAAGCTTCGCTCCGAGTCTTATCTTGAAGTGGAAATCATTGATGTCAACGAGAACCTCAATGAGCCATACTTTTCTGAATTTGCAGTGAGGGGCTCTGTAAAAGAAAACTCTCGTCATGGTACAAGTGTCCTCCAGGTGACTGCTCAGGATGATGACAAGGGTAGAGATGGAGTGATCAGATACTCTATCAATGCTAGAAGTGGCCTCGGAAGATTTTCCATTGATGAAGAAACTGGTATGTATAACTTGATTCTTTATGTGCATTTTGGTCATGCTGTCTGCTATGTTTTACATTTTGTGAAGACTAACCAGTCCTGAGTCAATGCTCGTACGATAAAACAAAACCTGTGAATTCATGCCTTAACATTTTACTGCAGTGTGCTGACTGAATGGTATTAAAAGGTCACTGTGACGTTATTTGTCTTGGCAATGAATTTGTGCTCGGAGTCTACAATTGCCTCTGAAATTGCAGCCACTGGAGAAGACCGCTCACCCAGAAAGGTGGGACTTAACCTCTGCGTGGTTTGAAACAGTGATCTTTCACAGTCTGCGCCTCAAAATCATTTGTGTGAGGTCTGGTATTTGCAATATTGAAGAAGAAAAACTGCTTAGCTACTCGCAGCACTTGTGTGCGGTGCCAGATTCACTATTAATTACAACTAATGACTATTGATTACAGAACTACAACGGGCAGTGAGATGTAACTGTGGTCTTCCATTCACATGTCAGCTAATTAGGCTGAGCCTGTTAATCAGGCCCCTGTTTAAAGTAAGCGAGTGGTGCACGTTTGTGCCAGAACCTCAAATGAGCATGGATTTTCCACAGAGAATTGAATGCCCTACCAGCAGCAACAGACAAGTTGTAGGGGAAGCGGATACAAGAGAATAAGAGTTGTCTTTCATCTTCAAAGTAAAACCTTTGGGATAAGAAAGGACAGTGGCATTGGCTCAGCACACTCACTACATATCCTCCTACCGATATCCATTTAGGCGGCAGGTTGTGTGTGGTGTGTTATAGTCCTTGTTGTTACTGGACTTTTGAGATGATTGAAAGCGGGCAGTTCATGCAATAGACTTACAAGCAAGCAGAAATCAAAGCCACTTGATCTCAGTCGCCAGTCGAGATGCACTCGGCTTGGAGGTTTGTATATGTAGAGCGATTCCGATATAGGAAGTCTCTTTGCTCAGATGCAAGAGTGAACTTAAAAAGGCTGGTGGGATTTATGAAGGCCTTATCGTCGGAGCGCTCTGCTGCTTTGAGCAGGCATTGGTATTCCTACCCACACTTTGGGAAATAAATCAGAGTGCACTCTCACTCAGACGCCTGTCGAGAAACAAGTTCAGCTCTAATTTGCCTCTGAGATTTGGCCTCTTTTTCTCCAGAGTCAGGTTAAGTCCTTTATGTCAAAATCTCTCAGACACCTGCACAAAGGGTTGCTTGTGCTACACATCCTCACACGTTCCACAAGACTGATGTATTCTGTTTAGCTTTTTGAAAGACAACATATTTTTGGAGCATATGGGAGTCAGAGATCTTTACCACAAGCCCACATCCTCTTACAGACTTCTTGAACTTTGATTGTAATTCGGGGGAGCTATCAAGGGTTTTCCTTTTGATGCCTCCATGGCATACAAAGGAAACGTCTCTCTCGCCGTAACAAAGATTCTGAATTAAAATATGAAAAGGACAGGGAAAAGATTTGTTGAAAGGAAAAAGTGCTTTTTCAGCATGTTTAGTCGCTATGCTTGTGAACTCCTGGTAATTCAAGATGCCCAGCGTGAAAAGAACTGCGCTTGATGTTGTTTGTAGACATGAAGGATGAGTCTGTGGCTTAGTTCTGCTTGGTTATGTTTTACATTCTGGCAAATTATGAATATTTGATTGTTTACATCTTAAAATGTGAACTTTTTAAGCATTTTTCTTAAGGAATTCCTAATTAAAGTAGAGCCACCAAATGTTTTGAACGTTTCGAAATTACATTATGGCTGTCATTTTATTCACAGGAAAACATCTGCTATTAAGCTAAATTGCATGTGTGTCAATGTGTTTTGCATTTGAAATAGCTAATTTGTAACATCTTAAAGGATAATTGGGGCCTCTTTGTGATGTGGCTAACCACAAAGCACATAATCATACTTTTAAGTTTGTTACAGTTGAAGGACGTGCCACCGATTTTCTACCTTTTTAGCTTCATAAGCAGTCCTTGGTGTTCGTAATATACACCTGTTGGCTGACTTTCATGAATAATGATAAATGCTAAAAGCAATGGGTGGAAGCAGATGGATTTAGTGTGGTTTTCAATGACATGATCAGTGGTTTGGGATTCACAATGAGCTGAAAGCCAATTGCAGCGTGTCAAATCATTTGCATTGCTCTAGTCACTTTAGTGACTGCAAATCAGGATCTGGTGTTCAAATGCTTTACAAAATCAGGCTTTTAGTGTAAATCTGTGTCTCTTTAATTTGAGCAGGGACAAGACTCATGTTTTGTACAATTTCTGATTCTCAGCACCAGAACCTGTGGGAATCCATCAAAACATCTTCTTCTTCAAAGCCAAAATCTTTGAATCAAACTGTGGAAAGCATGTCTTGAGTCTGTAGAGTCCTGTTCTAGACAGCGTTGGATCCTTGTGTCATTTTTTATGCCATCTGTCATACTTCTGACTCGACTGATGTAGTTTCTCAGAGTGTGAGTGTATAGAAGCAGATCGCCGTATTCTCAGTGTGTGTGGACATTACTTGTGTGACTTTTACATTTATACAGCAGTTTGGCTGAAAGGATTTTCAATATGATGAAAGGATGTAATGTGATATGCTATCAATGGGTTTTGTGCTTAAAATATATATTGTTATCTGGTGTCAAGGGTTTTGAGGGTGGTAGAAAGCAAACTTCATACATTTTTTAACATATTTCAACATTTCAAATGTTGTTTACTCCTGTAGCTATGGTAAGATAAGCTATGTTTCCCGTGTTCCCTGAATTCACAAGATGTTAATGTAATAAGAGTACATTTGGCTGAATTTCCGGCTGAATTGCACCCCAATTTACTCCTATTGCAGTATAAAAAAATCTAGCATGCTTAAAAGCAGAGGAAACGGCTCATTAGTGGACCTTCGCTCCATCCATCAACTTCACTTTAACTGGAACTATCTAGATGATTTGGTACACTTTTCATTTAACCCTCATTTCTGTTTCGGCTGTGAAAGACTCTTATTTATAGCTTAGAATGCTTATAATATAAGTGTGCGTTTGATTGGCTTTTACTAATCTAATGAAACCTAATCATAAAAAGACTTTCAGCTTGATAACCTGCTGCTAACATTACTGCATTATAGGGCTTAGTTATTATATCTCAATCTGATCTTAAAGTTGAATCGTTTTGCTTAATCAAAAAACATGAGAACCAATCAATGTTAATTTGAATGATTATTTTTTTACATGTGCATAATAAGGATTAATTCAGGACATTCAGAGTAGCAAACATACCCTCTTACAGTACTCCTTAAATCTGATATATTCTGTACTGAATTCAGCATGGGCTTCATTGATTAAGTCATGCATAAAATCTGCATATAAACGCTTTCAAGCTCATATCATAACTCAAGGTGGCACTATAACATATTCTCACTCTTTTCATTATTCAAATCGTTTCAATATATATATTATAAATTGACTTTACATGAGTAAATATTGCAAAGGTCTAAAAGAGGGTGTTTCTGTGTGTGTGTTTAATCCAAGCCTACTATATACAGTATATAAAAACAGTTTGTGTTCTACAGTGGGTTTTTTCAGTTTACGAGTAGAGCTGTGTGACATTGGAAAATGCTGACGTTGCAATATTTTGTTTTTCTGCAATATCAAAACAATTTCACCTGATAACTTGAATAGCTTTGGAAATAATTTGTTATTTCAGAATGATTGGGGCAATTTTGTAAGAGAGTGTGTATGCATAAAATACAATAAACATGATAAGCAAAGATAAATGCAATAGAACAGAGATGCAAATTAAATAAACAGTGCTCCATGTTTTTTTTTTTCTTCTGTGGAGACTCACAGTTTCAGGTACAGAAATAGAACAATCAGATGTAAAATAGCCCTGTCTTTACAGTATAAATTAAATCTTGGTTATCTGTTAGCATTTTCGCATGGTAAAACTTGCTTGGAGTGTTTACATAGGCCTTAAACCATAAATGCCCCCCTCCCCCCAAAATAGTAACATTCACCCTACTATGGTTGAAGAGGCACAAATTCAATCTGTGGTGCGTATGGTCAGATCCTGTGATGTGATTATTGCACATGCGCACATTGCAATGCCTTATATATGGAGTAAATTAGCGAATTGTGAATATGTGGATTTGGGTGGCATGGTGGCTCAGTGGTTAGCACTGTCCCCTCAAAAAGTAGGCCACTAGTTCGAGTCGCAGTCAGTTGGCATTTCTGTGTGGAGTTTTCATGTTCTCCCTGTATTCATGTGGGTTTCTTTCGGGTGCTCCGGTTTCCCCCACAGTCCTAAGACATGCAGTATAGGTGAATTGGATGAACTAACTTGGCTGTAGTGTTTGAGTGTGTGTGTGTGTGTGAATGTCAGAGAGTATGGGTGTTTCCCAGTACTGGGTTGCGACTGGAAGGGCATTTGCTGTGTAAAATATATGCTGGAATAGTTGGCGGTTCATTCTGCTGTGGCGATCCCTAATAAATCAGGGACTAAGCCAAAGGAAAATTACCAAAAATGTGGATTTCGAAGCCATTATGTTGTGTGACAGGCTTCTAATATTTTGCAAGATCTGAATGCTTGGGTGCTTGTCTTTGTTTTAGAACAAAATGTTCAGGTATTGTTGAGTTATATTTACCACAGACTCTGAAGTGCTTCATTATACAACCCCACAGAAAAATCTTGAAGGAACCTGCAGCCAATTTGTATGCTGGGTTTTGATGTCACTTTTTATGTATATGTCATAAAAGTTTATGTATCCATCTGTTTGGTATCTTTGGGGTTGGTTTTAAAGGGGTCATGAACTGAGAAATCAATATTTTCTTATCTTTTGACATACAAGAGGTCAACAACCTATAGTTTCAGAATACAAAACTTTCAGTAAAAAAAAAAAATGAAATCAACACCTGACTGTTTTGCTTTGCTCTTTGATTCACACTGCAGTAGGTAGGTAAATAATAAAAAAAAGGAATATGCAGTTTCAAATTATGAATTAAATGATAAAGATTGAACCAAAGACAGCA